TGTGTGGATCATTCAAAGACTAAAACATTTGATGTCTCAAAACTCTTCAGGCAGTGGCCAATTTTCAGAATTTATTAAATAAAATGTTATTAAAGGGGTGGTGGAAGGCATCCTGAGAAGTGTTCCTGTATACATACTTGATTGCTTTTTATTTTTTTTTTTTTTCAATTTTCGAGACGCTGTAAGTATTTTTGCCTTGCTTAGCACAAACAGCAAGCCCTGTACAGCAAAGCTGTGTAATTACACGTGCGTGCAAAGAGGGCTTAAACTTTACCTATTAACTATTCAAAAAGCTGTGAATAGCATGCATATGGTGACCTGTGTGGATCATTCAAAGACTAAAACATTTGATGTCTCAAAACTCTTCAGGCAGTGGCCAATTTTCAGAATTTATTAAATAAAATGTTATTAAAGGGGTGGTGGAAGGCATCCTGAGAAGTGTTCCTGTATACATTTTTGTTTGTTTTTTTTTTTTTTTTTTTACAATTTACGAGCAGCTGTAAGTATTTTTGCAAGTCAGAACAGGGATGAAGCCGATGTTCATCCCTTCAGTTTTTGATGTGATTCCTTAGTGTGAAAATACATGTCTACAATTTTAATCCCCACGGAAAACTGAGATGGTGACAGTAGCAAATTGGTGTTGCTTTAATACAGAACATGATTTATTGTGCTTAAATTTCTAGCATACATGCCATCAAGTACCCTTTTCAGCTAGGCTGTACGTATAGATTTGTTATCTCTGCATGAATCTTGGCTTTTGTAGGCCTTAAACTGGGCTTTTCTCTCCCATGTCAAGCCAGCAAGGCTTTTGATGAATTCTTACCCTATCTGGGAAGACGTATGACCAGCAGCGAACACAGCAGGACATGGCTTTCTACGAAGTAAACCACCATCTATGAATACTCAGCGGGCACGCAGCCCGCAGGCTTCTGCTGCCGGCAGGGCGAAGCCAAACTCGGACTCGGGGCTCGCGTGCCCTGGGAAGCTGATGCAGAAACTCGGTTGTATGTAGCGGACGTGGAAACTCCCGTGGGGGTGTCGGTGGCCTGTGAGGAAGGGGCATCTGCTGGCCGTGCTGCTGGAGTACGGCGCGGCGGGGCATGGCCGAATGGCGAGGGATTTCAGCTTCGCTGGCGCCCTGTGAATGCACACCCTGACCTCGCTGAGCGCTCGCTGCAGCCCTGCCCGGAGGAGTGTTTCTGCCTTCCTCGTTTTTCCCTTCGATCTTGTCTCCCCTTCGAAAAGCCAAAGCTTTTTTCCCAAGCTCCTCATGACTAGCCGGTCATTAATTTCAGGTTAAGTCTCTGGGAATTCTGCTGTCTCTCCCAAGGTACTAATTCCTAAATTAATGATTATTTTCACTTTTGGTGAGTTTCGTTGCAGTCTAAATACCTGCACGCTAATAATCTGTCTCCTTCCCTTACTCCAGTGGAGAGACTAACACATATCTACTCAGTGCACAGGAAGGCGAAAAACTGGTAGTACTCATAAAATATTGGGAAAACTTCTAAATTCTTTATCAAGGTGTATATTTTGGAGCTCGGTTTCTCCAGATTATTTGCTTGATTAGAAAGGGGTTTATTTTTCTAGCTTTTATCTGACTCTGGTAACTGAAAGTTGAGCTCCGACACGGGTTTTTACCTCCTTGTCTGTGTGTGATAAAACCTCTCTCCTGATTTACTAGCAATGCTGCTTGAACAGCACTGAACAATTTCTACAGGCTGACCTTGATACATTCAGTTCACAGCTAATGCTGATTGAACGGGAATATGTTCTAGCTCATTAATTTGTTGGGTGTTGTAATGAAAAATGAGTTAAATAACATGTGAAGCGAATTTTGACGTCAAAAGGAAAGACCTTTCATGCCTTCATGCTGTTGTCAGTGGTCAGACTTTCATGTTTGGCTCATCGTTGGCAATATAAAACACTTTATTTCGCTTTTCTCAGGTGGCTGGAAAATAGCTGCTTCTCCCCACTTCTTTCCCCTTCTCCTTTTATTCCCCTTCGCCTTACCGTGTCTTTTTAATTTACTGATCGTCTTATACAGAGAGGAGCACCGGCGCGCTCAGCTAGTGAGTCTTTGAAGCACTTGGAGAGGCAGAGAGACGTATTTGGGCTGCAAACCCCCCGGCCACGGGGCCGGCGGCGCGTTTGGTGCTCGGAGGCCAAAAGCCCTGCTTCGGCGGGAGTCAGCCAGAGTGCAGCAGCGGCAAGGGAGCCTCTTCAGAGCTGTGTGTTGCGAGCTCGGGGAGTTAAGCTGGAAGAACAGACACTGGCTCGCCTGTAGTATCTGCTGCCCCAGAGTTTATTTTCTAACGAATGGGGCAATACAGCACTGAGATTCCTATGGGAACTTGCAGTTTGACCAGTGTCAGCAGCTTAATGAGCAGTTCTGGTTAATAATTAGCTGAGCGATATCATAATATAAGGTTTCGGTAACTGCTGAGACATCGATCTGAGCAGTGCTTCAGAGGTTACATATTGTTTACAGAAGATAAAAATCCCCTTCCCTAACTCATTATTTTTAATCTATCCTGTTACTGCTCGTCAGTCCTCCTGCAACGCAGTAGCGCCTCTCGTGACATTCCTCCCAAGGCATCTCACCAGATGAGCTAGAATAAATAGCTCCGCCAAGCCAAGCTAAACAAGTAGAAGAGAGAAAAGCGGACAACCCTGTTGGCACTGCCGAGTGAGGAAGGAAGGGGAGTCGGGAGCTGAAGGCCTCCAGAGCCTAAACTCTCAGAGCCGCAAAGTCTCGCGTAGGAAAACCGCCGGCGGCCCTGGTCCTCGAGGGCAAGGTGAAGAGGAAGGCTCATGCGAAGGGCTGAGACCAGCAAAGCTGGGGCGGGTGGACTCGTCTTTTCCTGCGACTGCAGTGAAAAACCAGCTCAGGCATCTCTTCCCCTTTCTTTTAGTGTATTTCATGACACAAAGCTAGGACTGTTTACTGCTTCTTTTATGTAACGTTTCAGCAGGCTGTTAAAAAATATCTGGTATTTATATTTCTTGACAGCTGCGTATCGCACCGCTTGATGTTGATGTGGTCGTTGGTGGAGGGGTCGGGCTGAACTCGCGTAGCGTCCCCCCGGATTTACTGCTGCCGGCGGGGCCTCGTTGGGCTCTCCCTGGGAAGGCCGGGGTAGCGTAACGGGAGGTTATGCAGCGGTTTAGCTTCTGTTTTAAAAAGGCAGCGTCTTTCCCTGGTTTGTGGCAAAACCTTAAACTTGACCTAATTGTACTTAATGCCTGCCCACGTATTCGGGAGCCCGACCAACGTGGTTATAGGAGCTATATTCTGGCAAGTTCCTATATATTAGACAGGGCTACAGACTACGTGATTTATCATGTAGGAATATTCTACCTTGTGATCTTAGAAAATAAGCCTTTTCTTGGCTTGTATTTCTAAACCCCAGTCATGTTGTGGTTAGGGATATTTAGCACAGGCTGATGTTTGTTGTGAAACAAAGTGGGGAAGATCATAAATACACTTACATCATCCTCTGCAAGTGACGGGTTATGGCAGCGCGGCCGTGAACTTTTTCAACTGGGGGAGAAGGATTTTACCCAATTAAGACGTTGATCTGGTAGTCTTTCCCATGATCATGAAAAATAAGAATTTTAGAACCGAACCGGAGTTTTTTCACAAGAAAATTAACATGTTAAAGGAATGAGATTTCGTGACCAAATTGTAAATATCCAGGAGACGCAACTTCTTTGTATGGTAAGTTACACATTGAAAATGTAGTTCAGGCCAGAGCAATGAGGTGTAAAGTGCTTTGTGGGTTTTTTCGTGGCACTGAAGAAAGCGTGCCTGGAGATGCAGAAGCCTTCTGACAGACAGATTCCTGCCCGAGCATCTGTTGCGGCTAACCATCACCAGGGATGGCTTGGGGTGTCGTGTGGCGAGAGAGACGGAGTGCCCAGCAACATGGGGATGTAGTACAAGAAATCTCAAGGGAGGTTTACTTGCGTCTTTCTTTTCAGCTTTATTTTTTGAAACAAGAGCTGTGTTATTCATTCGTCCATCCGTTCCAGCTAATATTTTTTTGAGCCGAACTCGGAGAAGAGGGGGGGAAGCCTCGTCCATTCCCACAGCTCTCGCCTGAGCGGGATGGCAGAGGCCGAAGACCGAGTCAGCGCGGCTGAAGCTTCCGTTCGCGTGTTCTGTTGAGCAGCGGTGCCCTTGCACGCCTCTCCGATGTGGTGTTTCTTGGGAAGCGGTGCAGGGAGGGAGGGGGTCTGACCCGCTGTGGTGCGGGGCGGTGAGGGGGGAGCATGCAACAACCGCTGTGGTGCGGGGAGGTGAGGTGGGAGGCTGCAAATCCGTGGGTAGTTAACCTTCCTTAACTTTCACAGCTCACCAAATAACTAATTTTGCTAGGTGCTGTGCTTCTCGGGGTCAAAATTTATGATCTCTGACTAGACAAAACTAAATGGCTTTGCACTTGCAATACTGAAAACGTCTTGCTTTGTTTCCCAAGTTTGGTGGCCGCTTTGGGCTGCAGGACATAGGTAGGTTTTCACAATATTTTCCCTCCAAGTAGACAACCGCTGTGCTATAGACTGCGTACAGAAGATCGCTGCGCACCTTAGTCAATTAGAGCTTTTCGTAGTTCTGGCTCTCGCTGCAGTAGCATTTACTCTTAGCTCTGTGTTTTGACCCAGTTTTGTTGCCGAGTGAAGAAATTTCGCGCGTAGAAGCGTGCTGCTCCTGTTTTACGTAGAAGGAAGGCTTTCCAGCCATCAGCGCAATGAATTTTTGTGTCATGTCAAACCACTCCTGTTGACTTGCAGGCGTCCTTCAAGCTGATACCTTCTTGTGCACTGGATTTGTACTGCATATGTCTCTTCCCTGTAAAAAAAATGTACAGTATTCCTTGTTTTCCCCAGTAAGTTGTGCGGCTTTAATCCACTGACATAGCTTCCTTCTGAAGATACCAACAGAATGTAAATGTATATGTAAAACTGTTGGATTTCATGCGAATGTCTCCTCTGTGTAGGTACGCTGTTCTTTGTGGGCAGTTATCGGAACATGAGAGTATTCAGAAGCGTATTCAAACTGGATATATTTTTAAGGTGAGTAGAAAGGAAGGACGTGTTGGTTCTTGTGTAAGCATTGAACAATACTTATTTCTATAGTAGTAAGTTAGGAAAATTGGCTCCATCTCTGAGGGAAGCGATAGGTCTCAAAGAGGTGCTGTGGGGAAGGTGATTCCCGCGATGTGTGGTGAGGGTGACTGGTCTGGCTCTGCGCTTTTGCACACTGTAATCTCAGAAAAAAGAAGAAAAGTCTTGCAAATAAAATGCACGTATATGATGAGACTGAGAACTTGAAACATGATGGTACCTTGTGGTAATAAGATACAGCACCAGCTCTTCTTCAGGAACTGCCTGTGAGCGTGCTTGCACCCTCCCATAAATGCAAAGCAGTTATTTTTCAAAGAGGGTTTAATCTGCCTCCGATTCCTTTATTTGCCTTTCACCCGCAGCGGGGATGTTACGGGGTAAGAGGAGGCACCTGGAACGGTTACTGCAGAACGGGCCACCTACAGTATTACCTCGTCAGCTATTGACGTGACCAGCAAGTTGGTTATGCCGATGCTCTGAAAAGGTGGTAGAATAAAATGAAAGGCAGCTTCATTTTTTTTCTGTGTAGTAATTCTTGTCTCTGAGGCCGATAAATTGCTGGTTTTCTGTGTTCACTGAAACGATTTTAAGAAAGTTTGGAATCTCTTTGTAGCTGTAATCTATCGATCACTGACACTTAAAATTGTGCACTTCTTCCTTTCCTCTTTCCATATTTGTTCATCTGCTCTTGTGGATATTGTATTTGCTTATAACAAAAATGTAATGTGTGTTGGTGATGATTTTCCATAGGAACACATTGATAAAGCGATTGAACTGAAACCAGAGGATCCAAAGTCTTACTACCTTTTGGGCAGGTGGTGTTACCAGGTAAAATAGTTTATTGCTCTTTATTGCGGTTTTCTTCTTCCTTGGAATTTAATTCCCTGTTTGAATGAAAGACAGGTGGATTCAAACCACCAGCCGTAAGGACTGGGGATGCTCTTTAGTTGCTGAACCTCGGATATTGTATCAGAAAGTACAGGTATGGAAACGTCGTAGTTGCTTGAAGTAGTAGTTTAAAAGCCGCGCTTGCACGGGATCTAGAAACTCTTTATTTCAGTCCAGAAACCGTGCCAAGAAAACACTCCACTGATGAATACTATAAATGCGTTGCATTCAGAAACCTCTTAAGATGTAAAAGCTCATGTTATTGTATGTGTAGCACCTCAAGGCTTTTATAAAAGCACTATTGAAACTATTGTCTGCCAGGACACAGTGTCATTCAGAATCTCTCAGCTTCCATCTCAGTTGTTTTCTTAGCTGTAATCGAGAAGCCTTAGGCAGTCCATCTCCCTCTTGTCTGCCTCCTATTAAACCTCAAATGTACACCTTCATCCTGGTGTTACCACTCGAAGCACCAGGTTATAAATGGTGCAGGTTTTTAATAAGAGTTTATGTAAGCTCATAGCAAGAGAGCTACAGAAACACTGAGCTGGTGAGCAGGACAAGTGCTGGCTGAGCCCGCTTCTAGCACGTTGCTCTGTGCGAACCATCAAAGGCCAGAAGAAGGCAGAGAAAGGTTAGTGGTATTGAAGACACGCTGAAGTTTTTAAAAGCCTGAAGAGTGCAGTTCCGTATTGGCAATGTCATTTGCTCTTGCTATTGCAATACTCTTGTCTCCGAATCAACAAAAGGCTTTAAAAGTACTTGGTGTACCTCTGTGCAATAGAGTAAAAGCTGCTGGGGCTTTTGCCCTTTCGTTTATTTATTGCCACTATTCTGCTCTTTGTTTTTCCCATTTTTTCTCTCTTTCCCAGAGGGAAGCTGTTTGCTAAAAGCGTTATTTCTGAACTGCTCTGAATTGGAGCTCTGAAGGGTTCAGGGCTCCGGACTTGGTTTTTCAGTCACTGCAGGCAGCACGGGAGGTGAAATGGCAAAGAATGGATTAGGAAAAGCACTAGCTGCAAACTAGCTTACTGTTCCCTGTGCTTTACTCATAAAAACAAACCACCTTCAAGCCTCTAAGCGCATATGGATGTGATCAAGGAGGTTTCAGGGCTGGCAAGAGCTTCTGCACACAGTATATCTGTATAATCTTTTGCATGTGTTTCCTCTGCCCTTGCTGCACAAAGTATTGGAGGTATTAGAAGCAGCGTGCCGGCTGCTTTATACTTCTTGACAGGGAAAAGCTTGAAGTCAAATACCATAAATCAGATTTAGTGCCTATAAAAAGAAATAATAGTTTGCAGTAACAATCTGCTTTTCAGTTTACGCAATTTGAAAGCGCTTCGCTGCTATCAAAAATGAAGTCATATTGCAGAGATTGTAGCCGAGATAATTGACGCCAGTAATTACAGAGGAGCGGTGAGCTAAACTAGTGGAAGCTCCTAGCTCTTGATTCTCTTGTGGACTTTCTACTCAGCCTTACTGCTCTTAGAGAGTATGAAAGAAAAACAGATATAGGTAGAAATCAAGTTCGTGCTTCCGGTATTCTGCATTATAAGAATGATACAGTGGTAAACAAAGAAGATGATATCAGATGTTACGGTCCTATGCATCCTTTCCCCCATTCAAATTTCAGGGTGTTTCTTATTAGAGAGAGGAGCTGGGAGCAGGACAATAAGATTTCACGAAATGAAATAATTGTAATAGCTACCTGTTTCTCAAACTGTGAATATCTGTTGGTGGGAAGGCTTTTAGCCTGCCTCTCCCGAGGGATCTTGGTATGGTGGGAACACGTTCTCATACAAGATGTAAGCTGGGAGATGGGAGGGCTCCGTACGTGCATTTGCTCCGACGTGCAGGTGGGAGCTGCCGGGAGCTGGTGTGGTTGCGGTAAGGCGGTTTGGGGTTTTGGACCCCTCATGCTGTTGCATGCCCGTAATATTCAGTTGTAGAGAGGAATCTTGCTTGGAGCATTATGCACATGGCAGCTGATGTATGGAACTGTGAAAGCTGCCTCTGGACAAGGAAAAGCAAATTGGGTTTAATTGTGTGGCCGGACTTGGGTACTCGTCCAGAATCTCCCGACACGACCAAGGTCTTTGGCTTTCTCCCAGGGGCGCGAGCCAGCTACAAGAAACTGGATAATTCCTTGTTCGTATACTTTTGCGTACGCTGTGTCTCTAGCGGGTTTGACAGTTTTGTCTTACTGTCTCTGCAGATTTCCCACCTGGGATGGCTTGAAAAAAAGACTGCTGCTGCTTTGTTTGAAGCCCCTCCTACAGCCACTGTGCAGGACGCACTGCAAAACTTCTTACAGGTAATGAAGTCTGATAAGCAAGGCGCTCGCTAACCTGACAAATGCAATCACGAGTGTGGAAGTGCAGTACTTGTGTTCTGCTGAAACTCATCACTCCGCAAGTGCTCCATGATACATCTCCATTGCTAGAACCTGTGGAAGAAAAGCTGGTGAAAGCAAAAATGTTGGAGCCTCTTTTATAGAATATAGAATAGCCAGACAGAAGAGCGTGATTTTGAAGACATTAGAACTAGACCCAAAGTGTTCACCACTGTTTTTAAGGGTTTTGGTTTTCCTTTTAAAAGCTGCGTAGCAGAGTGATTCATTGCCTGGTACGAAATGCATACAGTCTGTACGCTTTCAGGGTCTGTAAGAGCTGTTTGAGCTCATCCCTGGGAATGCTTGCGTTGATACATTCTGCCATTTTAATTTCTCTCAGGTTATTTTATTAAAAGGCTGCCTGATTAGGTCAAACTTCCCCATTTCAGACTTTTGAAGACAACTGCTTCGAGGTTTCAGGGGCACATTGCTTAGGTATTTCTAGAAAGAAATTCTTAGGAGTACTTCCTACGGTGTAGGAATCCTGCCCTCTGAATGGCCTTTTTTTGTCCTCCTGTTGATGAAAATGAATTTAAGACATGGCCTGAGTCGCGTTTTTGAGCATGGAGCTCTTGTTGCAAGGGTCTGCACAAGATGAATGAGCTAAACAGGCTGTCCTTGGCTGTGCCTGTGAGAACTACTCTTGAGCACCTCTGATGAAGTGTTACAGAAAGAAATTGCCCTGCCACTTTATAACTCATGGATAGGGCCAGCAGATCTGCAAAGCGTCAGGGAATATCACGCTTATTTCAGTTTCTTATAATTTTGCCAAAATGTAGTCGTTTGAGAGGGAAAGTTGTGATAGGTATCTGCCCTAGGCAATGTACTTTTCAGCCAAAGTGGTTAAATCATTTCAGAGATAAGTTTGAGGCGAAGTGTTTTGTTTCTTTTCATTAGAGAGAAAAATAGCTTGTCACTCTTATTGATAAGCTAGAGCGGCGCTGTGGTTTGAAACAGGAACTTGCATTTTTCTGAGGTTTAGCCTTGGTCAAATACAGAGAGAATTTTAAAAGGGCACAAAAGCATCCTTCTGGCAGCGACTTATCCCCTGAACAAGTGCACTTCCAGCGTGCTCAGCGGAGTCCGTTTCAGCTTTCTGCCCCAGCGGGCATGCCTCAGGGCAGTGGAAACCTTCCGGCCCACTGCAGCTCTGGGTTAGTCACAAGCTGAACTGGGTCTAAGGCCAGACCACAGACTTGGGGGGAGGAACGTTGTGTGGTGCTGAGAGATTCCTCTGAGGTCGGGGCTCGGGCGTCTCGGTAGGGCACGTTGGGGAGTTCGAATGCAGATGGGATATGGGTCAAGCCAAGGGTTCATGATAGGAACCTACTGGAACAAAGTTGCTTGGAGAGTGATGACTATAACTGAGATGAATGGAAGAAGGCCAGGGGACGTGGGTAACTAGGAAACTGGGAATTAGTAGCCGGGAAGAAGACAAAAACGGGGGGAAGACTGCTGAGGTTTGGCACCAGCATATCTGGGGGGAGCCCAAGTGGATGAGACTGAACAGGCAAGGAGGTTAAAAATAGTCCACGCGCATGTGCAGGAGGAGGTCGTCGAGCTGGTCCCGAGTTTCCCTTAGCTTCCGAGTGCTCGACTTCACCGCCTCGCCGTTCTTCCGTGGCACTTAGATTAGGTGAGAGTATGAATGTTGCTCATTGAGTCACAGGCACTTTAGGAGAACCTGAGGACTTTCCTAACCCAGCCAGGCAAGCCTATGAAAAATTCTGACACTGATCTATGTATTTACAAAAGTAGGGCTTAGTCATCTGGGTTTTTTTAATTTTTTATTTTTTTTAAAGAGACGCAATAAGCCTGGTACAGGCATTAACTGTGTCTTTTGCATATTCTAACGTCTGCTTTTCTCTGCCTGTCGCACCCTCCCCTCTGTTCTTTGTAGGCTGAGGAACTGAGCCCAGGATTTTCCAAAGCAGGAAGAGTATACATTGCCAAGGTAACCAGTCACTGGCTGCTTTCCTTAGTTCAGTCATATGCTTCTAGGATAAGAAATATTTGTATTAAAAAATTGTCTTTGGCTGTAAAGTGCTAAGCACGTGTAAATTATTCCACGCAGAAGCAAGATTTTATAACATTTCTACAAAAGGCCAGATCATCTAGTGCAGAGGCATTAAAATTCAGGGAGGACCTTGCCTTTGAGTCATCCAGTGGAGCATCCTTCTTTTTTTAACAGATTAAATTCTATATAAAGCAGCACTGGTAACTCGTAAGGCACAGGCTGGAGGTTTAATCCCACCACCACCACGGATTTCTGTGGGGTATACAGAAAGAGAGTCATGGGGAAAAGTCAAGGATAGAGTACGTCTCTATTTCACCAATACAGATGGGAGTCTTGAGCGATGGTTAAATACACCACGAGTGCCTGGAGCTCCAAAGATCTTTTTGTTTGCATTGAGGGAATAATTGGGTTTGAACTGTTAAATGTTAAAATTGCTGCTTAATTCCTGCAACCTCCAGTTGGAGTCTAGAAATATTTAAAACCCAAATGGCTTTAGAAATCTTAGCCAGAGTGGGCATAGCAAAGAGTAGCTGTAGTCATTCTCTCTGGAATTCCTGAATTCCCAATGTCCCAAAGAATGTGAATTTTATCAGGGTAGCGTGCAAGTCGTAGGATCTGCTTGGTCTGGAGTACATTGTTACTGGAACCTAGGTGCAGAATTTATTTCATGATAAGCATCTCATTAAAGGAAGATGAAGGGGATGGCAGAGGAGGAAAACCCAGGAAGACACCGGTGTAGTAGCCTTCACACCAGCTGGATTTCGTCTTTGATATATTGCAGCTCACTCTGTGTATTTAGCCATGAGCCTATTAGGTAAAATCAGCTACGTATTTGTAAGTCAGCTAGCCTTTTGTTTCTGGCTGTTTATGTACCATGATGAATGCGCTCTTAATTGCTTCTCTCTCTGCTTGTAAATATAGCCAGCATTCACGGAAATTCAAAATCACCCCTCAATGTCTTGTATAGAGCAAAGAATGGAAGACGTGGAACTTATTGCCAGTGAAGCTGCAGCAGCAAAGCCTTGCACGTCTTAGCCTGAATAGGTTTTTAGAGTTGATGTAAAAATTTGGGTTTCATTGTGTGTAACCTACGTGAGTTGATAGGTATTGATTGGGCTAATAAATGGCTCGCCACGTGTCTGGCAGATGTGATTTGAGCTTCAGAAACACAAATTAGCGTAGAGGTTACTAGGACTACTTGTATCTGTTCGATTTTGGGGTTTGTTTTTTTCCCTAATCCCAGGCTCTCTCACTTTGGATCACACCCTTAATCACAAAATTTAAAAGGTGCTAATTGGTATCTGATTATTTTGAAGGAGATAGTGCTCTGATGGGTCAAACTTCAAAGAGAGAGAGTTGTGTTTTATAGTCATCTTCTGACATTGTTGACTGATCTGCAGGGACGCAGGGTTTTTAAAGGCTCCGAGGATGTCCATGACTCCATCTATTTTGAATTCACCAGAAGCAGAAATTTGACGGTGCTCGCAGCAGAACAGATAGTTCTCTTTCAGAACTATCCCACGACGCGGGAAAATCGCCAAAATACACGCGTGCACGTACTGCGCAGTGACGTTTCGGAGTCTGAAGTAATAGCCCTGCAGGAGTTCAACTGTTGTCCTTATCCTAACTGAATGTTGGCTTTTTATGGCAGTTAGAGCAATGATCAACTGCATTGCTGATAGTTTTGTGGGGTTTTTTTTCGGAACGAGTTCCTCTTACCATGCTTATTTTGTAGTCCCCAAATGCCTCCATGACCCTCTGGGCACCAAAAACCTGCCTGTTGTATAGAGGGATGACTGGTTCTCTGCTGTTGGGGAAGAGTTCACGATGAAGAATATTTCACATCTGTTGTGAGACCCGAGAGACCTGTAAATATTAGATGTTACAGAGCTTGCAGTTGAACCTCATTTTTAACAGCCTAGGGAATGTAAGTTTTGTAAGCTGCTGTGCTCTCAGTGTAGAGGTTTTATGGTGAAAGCGATGCGAGGAATAGTGGCTAAGTAGAAATAGAGCTTCGAAAATGGTGAAAATCACAGGGACACCTTAAAATCTCCAACCAAGAAACCAGTCTCCTTGCACAAAACAAAGCAACAGGGAAAAAAAAAACAACCCAAAAAAGGAAATCTAGTGTTCCATAATCTGATGGTGATTTTAATGCTTTGTGAGTGAAGGGTACTGCAGGAAGTGTCAGAAGCCTGAAATGATACAGTGCAAATGGGTAAGAGGTAGAAATAGCTCTTTTTATCCGCTGCCAGGGTTCATAATTGCTCAGTTACATTTGCTGCCTATTTTTTTTCCCATTTAACTCTTTTCATGTTGTCATTTTTCCTTCACAGTGTTACAGGGACCTGGGGAACAACTCTGCAGCTGCTCTCTGGATGAATCTTGCTTCAGAGCTGCCAGTTCATACAAAAGAGGTAGCAATCTCAGTAAGCACACATTGATGACGAGCAGAGATAAAATGGTTACAGAGATAAAATTCTTTTCTAAAAGATGTTCCAGCTTGTAAGCCCAGGTTTTAAAGTATTTTGTTCCTTAGCTCTTCTTCTCTTGGGGCCTGTTATCCGAATGCCTAAAGCAATTCAGCAAAATAATGAAAAATATTAAGAAGTTGAGAGTATGTCTGATACGGGCTTAGAAGTCCAGCACAGCACCGTGCAAATACTGCGCTCCTTCCAGGGTTAGGTCGTGGACACATTTGAATGCCCTGCAGGCGCTGAGCACTGCAGCTCGTGAACTGGAATACCCGCAGAACCGCTGAGCGACTGCGGTACGCTTCCCAGCACCGCGTTTTTGGGGAAGGTTTATTCCTTTGGCCACTATCGTGCCTGGCCAGCTCAATTCAGATGGGGCCGCTTCAGCTGAGTGGTTACCCTGTATTATCTCTTCTAATTACCCGTGTAGCGTTGGAGGAGCAGCCACCGTTTAACTCTCTCGGTGCCATGTCAGCTCCTTGGCTCCCCCGGGCTGGAGCTGATTGTCCTCAGCCATTCAGAAGCTTGTGTGTGCTGCCCAGCGTTTGGTTTGGTTGGTTTGTTTGTTTGTTTTTTAATATCTAGGGTATTTCATCTCTTCTATTACATCTGCAGGGTTTTGGAGAGCAGACTGTACTGCATTTTAGAAACTGCCACCTGGCAGCGTTCCCCGGCTGGGAGCTCTTTTGCACTTTCCTTTTCCTTTGCACTTTTCCTGTTAAGCAGAAGCTGCATAGAAGGTGCCCTCAAATTACTGCCAGTTAGAAACTGAATAAAAACACATCAGCTTTTACTATGGATCTGATGTTCTTTGAAAATGCATGAAAATACAGTGAAGTAATGAAAGCAAAGTCCTCCAGCGCTTACAGCTTCAGCCTTAGTCTGGTGGAGTAAACATTCTGGGTGTGAGGCAGAATTGTAGAAATACGCAGCGCCTTCATGCCACTCTGGTTTTAAGGCCATAAGTAGCCTTGAGGAGGTTGTAGTAAAGGTATTGTGCGGAGATTGACACCACAAGTACGCGAGGGATCTTGGCAAACCACCTGGCAGGGAGCTGGCTTGCCTGTGCTACCACCTGCAGGGCACTGTCCAGTATTGCATAGAGCGCCTGGCCGCATCTGGGAAACCAGGGCAGGGAGCCGGACTCGTCCCTGCCCGCAGAAGGCAAGACCCTAGCTCGGCCCGATGAGGAGCTTCCTCGCCGTACGCTGGTTGGAAATCTCTCTAGACAGAGTTAGAGTGGTATGTCTGATAAATAGAAAGAGGATTTTTTCCAAAAGAAGAAGAAATCTGTGTGTTGGAGGCATAAGAGTTTAATCGGAAAAGCACTGAGATTTTCGGGAAGGACCAGGAGAGAGCTACAGGCAGAAAAGCCATGAACAGTTAATTCTCCTTCCTGCTCTGAAATTAAAAATGGGAGTCGGGTAAGGAAGCCAATGCTTAAGTGGCTTTGTTAAGCCCTTGCAAATGTTAGTTCTCGTCATCAATCAAATAACTTCCATCATGTTGAGAAGGAAAAACAAAGGCATTTATCCAGACTGTGAAAGTCAGCGAGGGAGCAGAGCTTTGAATTCTGCTGTTTGGGTTGTCGGCTCTCATCTCTCAAAAGGAAATAGAAGAGAAACTCTTTGACACTTGGAGAAAACTTAAATAGTCTTCAAAGACAGCAGTGTCGAGAGGGAAGTACAGGGGAGGGGGAAAAACAGCATTAGGAGGAAAAAAGGAAGGCTGGGGGCATGCTTAAAACCTGGCGCGGGGTTGGAGAAGAAAAGGGAAATTCTCTTTTTTAATCGTTTCAATTAGGCTGTGTATTTATCTGTTCTCTTATTGCATTTGCAGGATGCAGAAAGTGAGAGAGAACTGGAAGAGATGCGATCAGTCTGGGAAGAATAAATATATAAAGGCTCATTCCACTTGATACTGCAGAGACAGTAAAATTCCAGTTAAAGGGGTTTCGTGATTCTGACGACTTTGATTGCACTTCATGGATAAGCCACAAGAGTTTACAGGAAAAAACAACCACCACTCTCATCAGCACAGCCAGGAAAAGATCCTGGTGGGATTTAATCGGAATCAATTTTGTATTATTTTCCTTCTTACAGCACTGCATATGTTTAATTTGAAAATTCCTAAAAAATGTCAAATCCCTAAAAATTGATTATATATATATATATATAAAACATAGATACATGTGAGAGAGATACTTTGTGATATAAAAATATACACACAAATATATACATATTTATAGATACAGCTATATCTTTTATATCACCAACTCTACCTATCAACAGCCCGAACTTCAGGCCTGCTTGCTGGTGAGCTCTCTCAGCTGATTCCTGAGGAAGTCTTCAGCCAAACTTTTTTCCAGATTAACTGTTTTCTCCTTTCCTTAAGAGTATGTATTAATTGAATCAGTTGAAATAACTGGTTCCATGCCTTTCTCAGATGTTTAGGCCAGATCAGATTTCGAACCGCTATGCTGGGTGGCCAGCGGCTCTGCTGGGTGGCCAGCGTGCCACTGATTTTCCCCAGCGTGATGCACTGGAGGCAGTGGGATGTTCTCTGCCCTCCGCCTGTCGGTTCTGTGGGCACCGAAACTGTGACTTAAGAAAAGATAATTACAAACAAAGAGGACAACAATGACTTAAAATAAGCTGTGCTGTGCAAAAATTGATGCTGGTGTCCAAAACACACTCTTGTCCTTTCCAGCTATGCCTGAACTACCTTACTGGTTTTCCACTGGGGGCAAACCAGCACCGCTCACTACAGTGAATTATTACCAGGGGACCAACGAGATTTCCTTCACAATACAAACTTTATTTTTAAGAGGTGCATTGCTTTTGTCAGAGAAGTGAGTAACAAGATTTTAAACTGTAGGGCTCCCTCCCTGTGGCGTTACTCCCTTCGCTCACATGAGATGGAGAACTTCTTGCGTCCCTCTAAACTGCGCTGCTATGGTTCAGGTGTAATAACTTAGTTTGAACAGTAGTTATTTGTCAATGAAACACTGGCTACGGGAACAGGAATGTTCCGTGGCAACGCTGATGCGTCCCTGTAATGGTCTTCTACCAGTTCGTGACCGGCGAGGCGCCAGCGAGAAGGGGGAGCCGAGAACTGCCGTTTCCTCGGGCAGCCTCGGGGTGCCAGGCAGCCAAGGCGCGCCGTGCCCTACGCTGACACGCGTGGTGGAGCTAAACCGCCTTCAGAAATTTCCCCGAATATTTAGCGAGGCTTTCTTGATAGCCCTTCGCATTTCAGCTGGCAGCTAACTGGACGCTTGTTTTTTAACGTTTGTTGTACAGTGTTTGTGAAGTGTAAAGTAAAAAAGTGCAAGAGTAAAACATTTCTTAGTCACCTTTTTAGTCCCTTGCACGTGTGTATTAAACTGATGGGTTTTTTACTTCATGAAAATAACACTGGAGGGGAAACGCGTAGCAAACTCGAGCTTAAAACCTTCCCGTTTTATAGATTTGGCACTTTTTAGCATCCCCCCCCCAAATTAAACTCTCAAATTTTGGTGCTGAACTCATCCCGTGACATCCAGGCAAGTGTGCAATTAACTTTATTTGCTTAAAATGATAAAAATTGACACGTATAAATGGAGAACTGAATCCTGACAGGCTGAGGTTGATCCCTGTATTTTCGTGCAGAGCTCCCCTCGCGATGAGTGGGCACTTGATCTGCAATTGCGGGACGTTTTTATACTTAATGTGTGCTGCTCTTTCAGTTCTTCAGTGGGATAATGAAGCTGCCTTTTTTACTTAGTGTGTATTTGTCTTGTTTTGAATATTTCCCAATGGATGACCATTTTCTTCTTCTAAACATCCAAGCTTTAAATAATTGCACAATTTTTTCAGCTATTTTCTTTTTGGTTGCTTAAGCCAAGCTGGGAAGTCCTCAACAGCGATATCCAAAAGATGATGATCAGCAACTTGATTCTTTCATGGAGGATTTGCAGGATTTTTTCTGGAGAGAAATGGTAATAGCTCTCAAACCAGTGGTGTAGTTAGCCGTACTTGCGCTGCCTTTCCCTGCCAGCAAGTCCCAGAGCGAGATTAATCAGTAATGGTTGCTGTTCTGTGTCTTGCTTAAATGCTGCTGCCTTCCAAAAGTAAATGGTTTCAGCGTATGTAATGGGAAGAGCGCGAAAAGGAAATATTTACACTACCGCGAGTCCCCAGCTTTGCTCACTTGCAGGCCCCGTCCAGCCTTCACCTGCCGTTTAACTTGTCAAAATGTAAACTCCTCAGAGGAGCCCGTGGATGATGTATTTTCTGGAGAGAACTGTCACTCTGTCTTCCCGCAGATTTCAATTCTCCTTGGATTTTTGGGGTGTCTGTTTCAGAACAACTCGGGGTTGTAGGCTTGAGAAGAGAATGCCGGTTTGCTGTTCCCTTCGCCTGCTGCTTGGGGTCCTGTGCCGCGTTAGGCTTGGCCGTTTCGTTTCTGCCCGTTAAGTCTTTAAGAGGGGGAAAGCATTTTGTGAACGTGTTCGTTGTGGCGGTGCCGTGTCGCTTGGCAGCCCCTCTCCGGGCAAGCAGCCTCCGCTGAGACTCCTCACGAAGGTGCTGCAGAAACACAGCTTTGGTTTCAGGGCAAACGGCCTGTGCGGACACCGATACCACAAATCTTGGGTTTCTTGCTGATAGAAGCCGAAGTCATTTTCTTCGAGGGGGAGAAGGCATTTGGTGCAGTCGTGCGGGGCGTAGCCGGCTGTCTTTGAGTAAAAGTAACCCGCTTCCCTGGAGGAAAAGGTGGCAATTAAATTATGGCAATTCTTCTCCTTCGGTGTTCGTTCTCAGCTGACTTCATACGGTGCGACCTTTCCGCTCTCACTCTCTTCCAGACCTTCGGTGAACGCTTTCAGCTTTCCGTGCATTTCATTGCCTGCTTCACTTTTGGGTTTTGGTGTTTTTTGTTTTTTTGTTTTTTTTTTTTTTTTTAAATGGGCTTTTATTGAATTTTTTTTGGTGTTTTTTGTTTTTTTGTTTTTTTTTTTTTTTTTAAATGGGCTTTTATTGAATTTTTTTTGGTGTTTTTTGTTTTTTTGTTTTTTTTTTTTTTTTTAAAATAGACATAAGTTCTGGCTTGAAAGTCTGGCACTGCGCTCCCACGTACCCTTTGTGCGTGGGGGCCCGTCCCTTTCCCGGGGGCTCCGCAGCCGAGAGCGCTGTGTCCCGGTTCTCCTGCAGGAGAGGTTCCCCCGGCAGCAGCGCTCCTGCCTGGGCAGCCGGGGTGGAGGCTCCTGCCTGCCGTGCCGTTTCGTTCTCGTCTGCTGTTATCTGCTGGAACCGAATTAACGCGTCTCTAAGACGACGACGAAAGGCGATGACAGAACTCGCAGACCCTTTCAAGTGCAGATAAAAGCTGTATTTTGCCATTTTCGCTCTGATCTGCAGGAAGTTAGGGCGTAAGGATCAAAGGAGCCTTTTCTGTGTGGGTTTGCCCTTTGCCTGCTGGTGAGTGAGCCGAATGTGGCTAATGAACATCGTTTAATTCTACTAGCGCAGCTTGCAGGTCGATGTGGAGATAAGGCAAGGCTGTGTAACTAAAGCACTTCCCAGGCAGCAATGCTTGGGCTTTTATTTTTTTTTCTTTAGCAGTAAAACGTGCAGGCTCTGGCTGTGCCGCGTGCTGGGCAGGGGAAGCCGTTCCCCGTCCGCAAGGGGAGGATGCGCTCAGTAGCTTTCGGACCACGTGGAAATCGAGCCCTTCTAAAATTTGCACGTACTTTGCAGACTAATCCCCGGGTGCAGTGTGAATTTCTTGAAGACGCCCGCACTGTATACATTCCAGGACCACAAGAAATGAATTTGCCTGGTATGATTTCAGTAGCGAGCCTGTCCTGTTCCCATCCAGGTCAGTTCGGGACTTATCCCAGGGTGAGAGACAACAATTTCCTGCAGCCACTCTTGTCTTAATTTTAAAACTCACCTACCTGTGGTTAAATTATGATACTAAAGAATAACTGAAGCTATTTAACTAATTTATCCTCACTGTGCTGTTCTGTTTGAAATAGAGTATTTATAAAGAAGGGGATCCTGCTTAAAGTTACCTGTGTTGCTCTCTTGCTTTTTATGCCAATACATGTGTAGGTGGAGAAACCCCACAGCCCGGAGGAGGTCGTCTACGTAACGTCATTGTACGCGTGGGGGCTGTGCCAAAGGCCATAGGCAATTACGGGAAAGCGAGGTACAGCGTTGTTGTTTATATATAGAATAACTGGGGTTACACCTGCAGCGGGTTTGGTATGTCAGTACAACCACTACTGCTTATGTTTTTAAAACACACCAAAGTAATACAGCCCCGCTTTGTGGTGAATGATGTACTCCAAGTGAAGCTGCTTTTAAATAAAGGTGGATAATCGCTTGTGGCCCGGTGCGAGTACTCTGCGCTCAGCCTCCCTGATCCTAAGGGCCATCTTCGGCTTCCCCAGGGCGAAAACCGTGACCAAGGGGCTTGCAGGCTGTGCGTGGTGGTGGCGCGGGGCGGTTTACGCTGCCCGGGTTGTAGCTCATTTTACTTCCAGTGACTTTGCAGAGAGCGAGCGCTAACGCCGACCGCGCTCCCGTGCTCCTCAGAGCCCCTTTAGGTCGGGAGTTCAAATACGGCAGTCGCACCAACGCGTACGTACAGCGGGAAGCCAGGCGTGGCTGCCTGACGGAGCAGGTAGGCGTCACTTGGGCTGTGTCACATCACCCGCGTATTAGCGCACTGCAGGCTTAATGTCCCCGTCCCTGGGAGGAGGACAGGGGAGCCGCCAGCCACCGCAGCAGGGAAGAAGCCCTCTCTCAGAAGCGGCCTGAGCACCACCAAGCAGCACTTAGCCACCTTTGTCTTTCCCTGGTGCGGAATTAGGGCCCCCTTCAGCGCGCACCTTCTCTGTAGTCTCTTCCCCCTTGTTTCCTCCTCGAGGTGAACCCGTCGCGTCCTCAGTGCACCGCGTCACCTTACAGGGAGCCTTGGTTTGCCTAAAGAAAGGAGCCGGAGCCGATACAAGGGGTCCTGCCAAGGTCTGGCTTTGGGGAGGAGAGGACCCCAGAAGCCGAGCAGGGGGTTGTGCAGGATGCGACCCGCGGCCCAGGCAGGCCTTTGGCTTCGCCCAAGGTGCGACGCGCTGAGGACTCCGAGCCAGGGATGGACGCGTAGGTGCCCTGTCATTCAGTGTAAATCTCCGGCTCTTGGACCATCAGAAGTTTCTGAATCGCTTTTGAAAGTGACATTTTGCAATACTTGACTGTTATCTTGGCGATCGAGGGAGCGGTGGCTTAGAGCACGGTTGGGAAAATGGTTTTAAGCAACTTGGACATCTCAGAGAGGAGGTCAGCATCGGCCCTGCGGCTTGGGACAGGGTAGCGTGTTCAGAAAGAGGGATTTGAAAGCAGACGAATTCAGTTATGTAGTTGGTTTCCAACAAAAAGCATACCAGAGCTGTGACCACCTCTCCCATGTGCTGGGAAACTTCTGACTCAGTGCTGGAACAGGAGTGTCAACATCCTAGGGACGGGACAGTCATTACGACTCCCACCCCGGCTTATTTCTGCTAAACCCAGATTTCTTTGGTTCAACGACACTTGTAATTCCTTGGAAATTCCCTGGCAAAATCTGACCTGCCCAGACCCTGCTGGGTCTGAGAGATAACCTGAAGCGGGAGGATTGCAAGCAAGAGGTTCGCTGTCTTGTTTTCACAGCAGTCCCTGCCGCTACGTGACTCACCTTCAGGCTGGTGCGAAGGGGCACTTGCTGGGTTATTCGGGGTTATTTAGCGTGAGCCCACCTCAGAGGCTCCTGAATATTATAATAAATAAACCGTTGGGTCTTTTCCAGCAGAAAACACGGATAGAATTAAAATGTACATAAGTTGACTTGGCTAATATTTGAGCGTTGTACGCAAAGCACACAGTGTAATCAGAAAAGCTGCCCTTAGGGAAGTGCTTTCACTGAGAGGGAAATGGAGGTTAAAACTGGGGGCAGAGAGGGGGGAATAAGGTTGAACGCGATTATCGCTTGCTGCAGACCGGCCACGCTGCTGGTTTTGCACGTGCAGGCAGGCACGGCAGCGTCGGGCATCAAAACGTGCTCTCCGTAACGCCAGCAGCCGCGCGTTCGGTTCTCTTCACAAGCTGTACTCAACTTTCGCTTTCTCCGAAGTAAAAATCTGAGACGGGCTCAAGGCGCTGAGGGCAGACGAGAGAATACAGGATCGTCCTCTGCCTCTGGAGAGCCCCAGCCTTACAAAGGTACCCTGTAACAAAAACCGGCTTCTCAGTTACTGGCCTGATGTCAGCTTGACCGCGACGTGGAAGCTAAAGGCCTTTGGGTCAGGTTTTAATAATGAGGTGGTTTGAGAAGCAGAAGAGGGGCTGAGGTTTGCGTAGGCTCCCTGCGCTGGGTTGCTTACGTACCTGCAGTGAGTTGTTTTGAAGGCAAGATTAATGATGCACTGATGGCTTCTCTTCTTAGTAAAAGCCTTAGTTCTGCAGCCAGGCCTCTTGTGTGTCTTTTGCTCGATAACGGAGCGCGCATGGCAGCGCTTCGGCGGCTCAGAGCCGCGGTGGGAGCGGCGCGGTACCTGCCTGCGTGCAAGGGCGGCCGTCATCGCCGACGAGGAGCGGGAAGGAGTTTGGACACGGGGGACCGTAAATACACAGCGCCTTTCCCAGCATCCCGCTTCCATATAAAAAAAAAAAAAATTATATTTCCTGGCAGCGTCTCTCCTTAAACATGAGAAATGAGGTGGTCAAAGTATTGCAAAATCATTCAAGTAAGTGCTGGAAGCAGATTTCTCCCCCCGCCACGGACAGAAGAGCTGCGGTCGTACGCTTTGCACGCCATGGCTGTGACCTCCTGCGCGACAGCCTTTCGGTGCCGGAGCAAACGCCTACACCTAAATCTTCACAATTTGGGCTTTAAATGCCCTATGGGTAGGGCAGGGTAGGAACCGGAGCTGGAGAAGCAAGCCGGCTTGGAAGCGGGGCTTGGGCAGCGGGGCGGGATGCTCCCACGGCGGAGGGCGCTGCAGGCGGCACCGCGGGCTCGGCCGTGGCGCGGGGCGAAGCACGGAAGCGAGTGATGTTGCTCTTCGTTCAGCCCAGCGCCTTTTCCTCCTCCTTGGCCTCCATTACGTAAAGAGTAGAGGGATGCCTAGTTTTAATGCCTGCACGTGGCATTTCTGTGTCGGGCATGTAGAGAATAACGTAAGGTATTTTTTTGGTGGGTGGGGGCCAAGAAGGGGGAGCAAAACACAATGGGCGTGCAGAGGGGTTTCCACTGAGCCCTAGGGCTGCGCATCCCAGCTTGAGGCTTCACCTCAAACGGCTGCCGCCACCTTCGCTGTGGGCCGGGTCCCACGGGGTTATGGTGGGCGCGTTGCTTCTGTTGACCATGGCTGTCATGGTCGTACCGGTGCCCCCGGCAGCACTGCGGTGCCAGGCGGGCTTGAAAGTGTCCTCGTGCTCTGAGATGGCTTAAAGAGGAGGGCCAAGGCCCTGGGGCTGCTCCCATATTCATCCCTCTGGCTTAGTGTACCCATAAAATAAGGGTGAATAGCAATCCAGCCTGCAGTCCTGGGCGGGACGGCTGGCCATCGGTCAAGGAGCGCGGGAGCCTGCGGTGTCGGCCCCCGGAGGGTGCTGCCGCGGGGCGGCGAGTCTCCAGCTGGACTGTGAAAGCTGGAGAGGACCGCGGGTGGCAGAACTGCGAGCGGGCAGTAAGCGCTGCCGAGAGAACTGCTGGTTTCTGTCTTAACGCCATCTCAAGGGATGCTCTCGCAGGCGTGTGTCTAAAGAGGGGGAGAAAACTTGCGCTTGCTTTCAAACCTCGGTACCAGGGAGCTGTTGCTGACCGCCGCCTCGTTCGTTTTCACAGCCCGCAGGGGCAGCCGCGGGCAGGGTGGGCCCGGGGACACCGCAGCGGCACTGGGGGCCACCAGCCCCGATGCCTGGCAGGGCACGACCAGGGCTTCACTTCTGTGCTACGCTTTGGAGGAGCTTCAAATCCTGCTCGTGGGGCGGGCGGGGATTTACGTCGTGCGTTTGCACTGTTAGCAATGCACGAGGAGCTGGCGAGGGGGTGTGAAAACACGCCGCAGCGCAGAACGGGGCTGGGGCGGCGTTTCAGCGCGTCAAAGAACGAAGCCAAGAGGTGAAAGGCGGCTGCGACCAGAACCACGGACGCTTAGGTCTTACGGGAAATCCCAGCTGGGTTTTTAGGACCAGCGTTGTCCCGATGAGAGCGAACACCAGCACGGGCAGGTGGAAAATTGTTTCTGGCACCTTCCCCCCCAAAACCACATAAATGCAGCCTTACCGGTTGGTGAAGCGTCTGAAGGAGATAAATGGGCTATTGGTAAATTATTGTCGCTAGGAGGGGATTCGTACCCTCCTCCGAAGCCCCTCGGGGTGGCCATGGGCTGGTGGCACTGAGATAAGCACAGTTTTACCTTGTGTGCCTGCTTCTGTCCTCCCTTTTGGGGGCCATATAAAGCTGAAGACACCCTGATATAAAACCAACTCGATTAGCATCGGTCGGACCTTAACAAAATGGCGAAGGTTTATCTGCTTTAGCAACTCAGTGACGCGGTGCGGCTGTGCGACAGCGTCGGTGGCGTGCACGGCAGCAGCGGCTCCCCGGCAGGGCTCGATTCACGTCGTGCACGAGGGGCTTGTGGCCAAGAAAAGAGGAGGATTCCCTTACAGCTGCCGGTCACGCTGCCAGACATCCTTCATGAGCTGAATTTGAGGGGAAAAGGTTGATTTTGGAGATGGGCCGTGTCCCATTTCAGCGAAGCGGCTCAATGCATGCTGTCAGAGCCTACTTTTGGGTGCCCAGAGCCTCTTTCCACTTCACCCAGAGGCTCATAATGGAGAAATACCTTCCCTCCGCCCCACGCCACAGGCCACCGGTGGGGTCTGGGGGGAAGGTGGGTGAGAAAGCCCCGAAACCTTCCCCAACCTCTGTCCATACCCAAACCAGAGCAGGGAGACCTGCTCATGGCTTCAGACGTCATCCTCCCACGCCCCAGCAACTGGTCCTTAAATGCTTCTTAAGCTCCATCAACAAGCCCCCTCCCGCCTCCCTTAGCTCCCGCGTGGCTTTCCTGGAAAGAGCAAATTACTGCTGGCTGCACCCTGGGGCTCGGGGGGGGCTGGTCCTTGCGGGGGGATCCCTGTGGGGAGTGGGGTTTTGTCCTGTTTTGGGGTGGGAGAGCTCAGGGGGATGCAGGACGGGGGCTTGGGCGCAACTGATGCTTCCAGCCACCACCCCCGGAGAAAACGAGCGGAGCCAGGTCCCATGTCAAAGGCGTTTATTGCTGCAGGGCCTCGCTGCCTTCCACCCTGCGAACGGGCAGGGATGCGGCGCGGCAAGATCCACCTGCGGGCAAAGCAGGATCCGTCCCCCACGCCCCGGCACGGCCAGCCCCAAACCGAGGGGGTGCGGCATGGCTGGGACCCACCACCCGCCCCGGCAGATGCTCAGGGCTGGATGAGTGCGGGCTGCCTCTGACGCACGGTGACGGTGAAGGGCCGCGGCTTCAGCGCCAGCCCGTGGATGCAGTCCATGGTGAGGTACTCCGCTGGGTTGGCGTGGAAGGAGCACTGGTGGAGGAGGATGGCGGTGAAGAGGAAGAGCTGGAGCTTGGAGAGCTGGTCGCCGATGCAGCGCCGCTGGCCGGCTGAGAAGATCATGACGCTGCCAGCCCGGTCGCGGTCCAGGCGCTGCTGCGCATCCAAGAAGCGTGCGGGGTCGAAGCGTTGTGGGTCGGGCCACTTGCCGCAGTCGTGGTTGACCGACCACTGGTTGATGAAGACCACGGTGCCCTTGGGGATGTGGAAGCCCTCGAGCTCCACGTCGTCTGTGGTAGCGTGTGGGATGGTGATGGGCACGAAGCTGCTGTAGCGTAGCGTCTCATAGATGAAGGCCTCCAGGAGGGGCAGGTGGGGCCGGTCCTCAGCCGTGGGCAAGCGGGAGCGCCCCACCACCCGGTCCAGCTCGGCCTGGAGGTCCTGCTGGAGCCGCGGGTGCTTCAGCAGCAGCAGGAGGACCCACGAGAGCGCTGTGGAGGTGGTGTCCTGCCCTGCCCCAAAGATGTCGGTCATGGCGGCCTCCACGTCCTCGGGTCCCAGCCCCTCGGGGGGCCTGTCACTGTGCTCCACAGCGGTGATCATGACATCGCTGATGTCGCGGAGGGCGCGCGGGTCGAAGGTCTGGCGGTGCTGCGCCACCTTGGCACACACGAAGCTGTGCAGCTCGCGGTTGAGGGCTTGGAAGTCGCGGAAGACGCGGCGCACGGGGTTGGGGAAGTGCAGGAGCCAGGGCAGCACGTCCACCATGCTGCCCGCCCCCACCGTCTGCCCGAAGCGGTCGTTACGGTCCAGCAGCGCCGTGAACTCGCCATCGGCATGGCTGTAGCGGCGGCCGAAGCAGAGGGCGCAGAGGACGTTGGCGTTGGCCACCACCAAGAGCGGGGAGGGCTCGAAGTAGGCACCGCCCTGGCTGCGCCGCAGGAAGAGCCGGACAAGGTCCCCTGCCTCGGCCGCCACGTGCCGCTCCACCTCGGCTGCCGTCGAGCGGGGGCGCAGGGCGGCGGGGGGCAGGCGCCGGCCAGGC